GTTTCTAGGATTTTCCCAAAGGGGTGAGGCTGTGACCCGTGGGCATTTACAATGCCTTCCTTTGTGTTTCCTTTCCTTCCTTTAAAAATTTTATTAAAATATTTTATTTATTTTTTATTTTGTGTGTATGAGTGGATTGCCTGCATGTTTGTAAGTACACTTGTGCTGTACATGCAGGGGTTAGAAGAGGGCAGCAGATTCCCCTGGAAGTGGCGTTATGGATGGTGGTTTGCCACCATGTGGGTGCTATGATTCAAACCCAGGTCTTCTAGACGAGCAGTCAGTGCTTTTAACTGCTGAGCCATCTTTCCAGCCCTCCCCCCAATTTTATTTATGTATTTAGTTTTATTTTGTATGTATGAGTATATTGCCTGTGTATATGTAAGTACACCCATGTCATGCAATGCCCACTGAGGCCAGAAGAGGGTGGCAGATGCCTAGAACTGGAGTTACAGATTGTTGTTAGCCACCATGCTTGTGCTAGGAACTGAACCTAGAGGAGCAGCCAGTGCTCTTAACTGCTGAGCCGTCTCCCAGCCCTCCCTCCCTCCTCCCTTTTTTTTTTTTTAAAACCAATAGAGGAATGAACCAAGGGCCTTGCACATGCTAGGCAAGTATTCTACCACTGCTCTACATCCCCAGCCCATTAGTATTCTTTTAATGAGATATTTATCTTGGCAGAGAGCCTAAAGCCTGTGTCTGACCCTGGTCTCTCTCACAGGAAACATGTTTCTCTCAGAAGGTCCCCATGTGGCTCTTATGGTCTATGCCCAGTTTCTTCTTGTCAAGATGGCAATGCTCTGATTGGGAAAGATACAGAATGCCTAGACTGCAGCTCATCACTTAATCACAGAATGCTTTAATTTAGTACAGAGAGTTACAGAGAATCCAGTAGGCATAAGACACTAGATTGGATTTTGGTGACTGCGGCTCATACTGAGTGTCACTTTATCTCATCTACGTTTTCTGCCTCATCCTCCCTGTCTTCCATGGAACTTTCCTTACTTGTTTGCTTTATCCCCACCAAATGATGCCCACAAGACAAAAGACAAAGGAGGTAGCTGGATAAAGCCCATCCAGAGAGCTGGAATGATACTGGAGCCAATGTGTTTAGGAAGTCAGAATCGTGCAGGTGTTTGCGCTTACATCATGGCGTCAAGGCTCTCGGGGGGGTGGGGGGTCTGAATGAGAAGGCCTGGTTATTTTAGTCCTGAGGATTCAATGCCACTGTCTCAGATGAAACTTTCTTTTATCTAGAGTTGAAAATGTCTTACATCAGATTGAGATGACTTTAGAACATCAGAGTATTTAGATGTTATATGACGGTATGTTATCCACAGAGGCAATTCACGGAAAGATCGTGTTGTGAAGATTATATGTGCGGACGCAGAGAGAGAAGTTATTAACGTGATGAAGTGTTTGCTGAATGCTTTCACGGATGACCTGGGCTCTATTTTATCTAGAGTTGAAAATGTCTTACATCAGATTGAGATGACTTTAGAACATCAGAGTATTTAGATGTTATATGACGGTGTGTTATCCACAGAGGCAATTCATGGAAAGATCGTGTTGTGAAGATTATGTGTGCAGACGCAGAGAGAGAAGTTATTAATGTGATGAAGTGTTTGCTGAATGCTTTCACGGATGACCTGGGCTCTGAGCTTGGCCTCGACCCTGAATGTGTGGTGGGTGGGAAAAGAGCGAGGGAGTCTGATGTTGAAGAGACAGAATGTGGCAGCAAGCACTTGAACTCCAACCTGGAGCTGGCCACAACTTCCCAGGACCTTTCCAAGGGGAAGCTGGTAAATAAATGTCTGTGAAGGGTAATACTTACCGGGCTTTCCGCACTCTCAAAATTAAGAGTTCTGCTATATTTTCTGTGCTCATAAAATGGCTACTTAGTGGGAGGTACTTTCTGTCACTTAGAGGTACTCTTACCAGTTTATAGCTTAATAATGATATTTATGCTGCTTACACAAATCTAAGTGTGACACAGTTCACATCTTGAAAGTTTATGAGGAATGTTAAGATGTCATGTGCTAAAATTTGTTGCCATGGTGTTTTCCAGACACACCAGGGCAGTTACACATATGAACCTATTGCTCTTGTCACAGTATGCATAAGACCTGTAAAAGCCCAACCCAGACCAGAACCCAGGGTGGATGGGGGAGGTGGGCAAGAAGCCCCCAGCCCTAGCTGAGGGTCTACTGGCACCTGATAGCTGCTGGGAGAGGGAGAGTTTGTTCTTAATGGGTGTGATGGTGGTAGATTGACCAGGCTCCGAGGCAATTCCTCTATACCCAAGAGCAATTGGGGAACATAAATTAGACTTAAAAGGCCTTAAAAAATAGTAGAGGACATAAAATGGGGGTGGGTCTGGAAGTGGGGGAGGGTGTCAGCATATGATCACAATATGATAAATGAAATTCCTGAACAATCAATAAATATATTATTTTTAAAAGATGTTTTTCCAGTTTATCATTTTACTAGAAAATTTATTATGATTTTTGGACTGAAAAAATCAGGACTATAGAGTCTTCCAAAAAAATAATAATTTGAAACAGAAGATTGGGTGCTCTTTTTTTGTTTTGTCTTTTGTTTTTCTTTGAGACAAGGTCTCCCTGTTGCCCCAGCAGGCCTGGAATTCCCTACGTACAATAGGCTGGCCTGCCTCTCATGGAAATTCACCTGCTTTTGCCTCCAGAGTGCTGGGATTAAAGGCATACCTCACCTGCAACTTTTTTAAGTCAGGATATCACCATGTAGCCCAGACAGGCCTGTGGCAATCCCCCTGCCTCACACTCCTGAGCACCAATACTATAGGCATGCACTATTACCCCCAGCTTGCCCAGTAAAACTCTTTAGGAGATCACGTATATAATATTTAAAACTCCAAACATAGTTCTCGGCATGAAGCAAGCACTTGAGAATTGTTGAAGATTAATTTGAAATTAAAGTACAATAGGCATTTATTGAACTGAATTGTTCAATATTCCTATGATAGAATTGGATTGTCACTATTTATGTTTAAATTCCTGTATACGTGATAACATGCATCTTTCAATGTTTCTCTTTGATTAAAAATAAGGCACATTTCTACATTTCTTGTAGACCTACAGATACCTACCATAGTGACAAGTAAAATGGTGTCAGTGTATGACGTCCTGGTGCTCTGTGCTGTAGGAAGATAGTAGAGAGACCTCATGTGCATATTCTAGAGTAGGGGAGGCATGGGTAAAATGATCTCATAAATATTTGTTTAAATGTTTGAGTGCCCCTGTCTCAGCCCACCTGACAGGTATGTTTGTGTATCAAATGTGCTTTACTCCAGGAGTCCTGGGCAACACTCTGCCCATAATGGCACCAAGAATCATAGCAATGGACAAATACGTGTTATTTGTATTACTAAAAATGTAGAATTCCAATGGACATTGCTCTCAACACTGAAATATTTCTTTAAGTTTTAAAATAAAAGCCTGAAGTTCAAAAATGATTGTGTGTAGTTTCATTAAAACTTACATTCTGGCCAGATGTGGTGGCACACACCTTTAATCCCAGCACTCGGGAGGCAGAGGCGTGTGGATCTCTGTGAGTTCAAAGCCAGCCTGGTCTACATAGTGAGTTCTAGGACAGCTGGGGCTACAGGGAGACCATATCTCAAAAAGACAAAACAAAACAAAAAAATAAAACTTACATTCTGACAGTTTCTCAGAGGACTAGCACTTCATAATTAATGAATGCTCAGCCCTAAGGTTGACCTTCTAAGGGACTGGATAAGTTCAAACTTAGTAGGAAAGAAAGTTGCTTTTGACTAGCTATTGAAGCCTAGGTGTCCTTATCTTTGTAGAATGAAAGTAAGTTATGGAACCATGCCTATGAAATTTGCTCTATATGTCAACATTTGAGAGTCTTTTTTACAATAAAAACTTCATGCTGTCTGCTTTGTTTTATGCTATATTTAAAATCACAGAAATTATAAAAGGCTTATCTACCTTGATGGTTAATGGCCCCCTTTCAGGGTTCCTGAGATTGAATTCTAGTCATGTGAAACCTCAGATACAGACACTTGATATAAATGCTTCTCGATATAAAAGGTTCTTAGCTATATTTCCCTGCTAGTCTGCAGAGCCCCACCACAGATGGCCTTCTCAGTCCTGGGGTTGAGACAGTCAGTTAGTTTGCTTAAAGGCTAGTACTAATGAGGTCATGATCACAGAAGTCACCTGATGGAAACAAACTATGAAGCAAAACAGACCTGGACTTGGATGCTACCTTTCCCTCACACTAGCTGATGGACCCCATCATGTTACTTGGACTCCCGGTTTCCATTTCCTCATCTTTAAAATGGGAAGGCAGCGTCATAAAGAGAGGAAGATGAGGGAGAATTGGAGGAGGTGGCATTCTAGCCAGGGCTTAAAGCTCTGCAGACTAGGCAGGCTAGAAATTCAACCTGAAGACACAGTGGAAAGAAAGTTTCCAAGGAGTAAGAAACTGGATGTTACTCTGGTATATAATAAGGGTTAGGAGATGTGTTTAAAAAGAAAACATCAGGGCCAGGGAGATGGCTCAGCAGATAAAGGCACGTGCCGACAAGCCTGATGACCTAAATTTGATCCCCAGAACCTCCACATGCATACTGTGGCCTGTGTGCACAAACGAACACACACAGAGACACAATTTTAAAAAATCGTCTTCAAAAGATACCGTCAGACTGAAGCGACCTTACACGTCATGTGAAAGGGTTTGAGATTTGCTGTCTAGGAAAATCAAAACACTGGACCCTTCAGGGAAAGGAGATGGAAGACGGTTGTTTCAGAAAGAAACTTCCAGATCAAGACTTGTGCATGGTAATTTACAAACTAAATTTGGATGGGTAGATAGCCCAGGCCAGCTTTCTAAGCAGGATCTTTCTCTCCTCTAGGCTAGACACCTGTCACTATAACATGGACTGATGTTAGATGCCCCAGTGGAGCTTCCTAACCAGGTTCTTTCTTCCCTAGGCTGCAGATGTTCTGCTCCAACATGGGGCTAATGTTAATGTCCAAGATGCTGTCTTCTTCACCCCTCTGCACATCGCTGCTTACTATGGGCATGAGCAGGTGAGTCTGCAACGAGGGTTGTGAAGGCTGGTGGGCTCTTCGGGGACTGATTTTTCCTTCTTCACCCCTCTGCACATCGCTGCTTACTATGGGCATGAGCAGGTGAGTTTGCAGCGAGGGTTGTGAAGGCTGGTGGGCTCTTCGGGGACTGATTTTGTTGAATTGTCTTATTCTCAAGAAAGGGTATTTAAGATATTCTTTGGGGCATAGGTATAGTTCTGTGTTACAGCACTTGCCTAGCATTTAGGGAACCCTTGGTTCAATGCCCAGTGTGTGCAAAGTCCTGAGTTTGAAACTCAGGACCACATACATATACAAACACAGTCTATCAGTAATTTTAGCAATTTTTCTTCATCTCAATGTGTAAGGAGCTTGCAGATCAAAGGAAACATTACAGCTCTCATGCTGTTTGTTGCTAGTGTCTTACAAGAAAGGGTATTTAAGATATTCTTTGGGGCATAGGTATAGTTCTGTGTTAGAGCAATTGCCTAGCATTTAGGGTACCCTCGGTTCAATGCCCAGTGTGTGCAAAGTCCCGAGTTTGAAACTCAGGACCACATACATATACAAACACAGTCTATCGGTAATTTTCACAATACTTTCTTCATCTCAATGTGTAAGGAGCTTGCAGATCCAAGCAAACATTACAGCTCTCCTGCTGTTTGTTGCTAGTGTCTTCGTGCATGAGGGAGGCAGTGGGGTGCATCTGAGGTTTGAAGTCACAGGAGTCACTCAGCCTCAATTTGAAAGATTCTTCCCCAGAACTGTGTCTAGGTGCAGCTTATATAATACCTCTGATCATGTCTTCCTCTTTAATGGGAAAAAATAGTACTAAGTACAGACCTTCCGTGGATGCCTTTACAACAAGATAGAGCTGATTGGCAGGTGCTCGGTTTATATGTCACTGCTAAGATGCTAATGGAACAGAACAAAACCAATCATAAAGGCTCTCCCAACAGCTCTGTGCACAAAGGGCTCTTTCAGAAAATATTTCCTCCTTTTTTACTGTCATGGAATTTTTAAGGCTGACAAATATCTCTTGAAACAAGTTTATATTCTAATTTCTTAACCTGCAACTGTCACCTAAGTAGGAACTTTTGAGTATGTGATTGCATTGAGGGTTTTCAGAGAGGAGAGTGTCTTAGATTTTTCTATGAGGCCTGAGGGGTCACCAAGGCCTATTTGTATGGCAGGGAGTAAGAAATCAGAGAGAGCTGTAGCTGGGGAAATGGTGGTGAGAGGCCAAAGTGATGCAAAAGGCAGGAAGAAGCAGACCCTGCTGGAAGCGCAGACGACTTGAAGCCCTCAGGGAGGAAGGCACAGCTTGTTGTTAATAATTTCTAAGTTAGCTGTTATTTGCCCCTACTTACCGTGTTACATGAGAAGCCCATCAGGATGGGGAGCATGACATGCCCAACATTTAGAAAAAGAAGAGCTGGCCTGGGCACAGTCAGACTGACCAGCCTCAAGGCCCACGTTCACCATGCCTTGACATAGAACCAAGCCCTTTACCTTGAACCAAGGTGTCAAATTATAAAATGCATAGGGTTTGCCTAAATAATGAAGGAAGAATTCACGACAATGTTTTCTGACTCCAAGTCTATCGATTTTCTCCCTCCACATACTGGGAAACAGGACATTTGAGTGCTATTTTAAGACACTAGCCCTGAGCTATTCTCAAGACATTAAAAAGAACGAAATAAAAACAGAAATAAGGGTAAGGTCAGACAACCAAGCACAGCTATCGTTGTACATCAACTCTTTACCGTCCCTGCTCCCACCTCTCTTGGGTCATTCAATAGTGGAGAATTCAACTGTGCTAACGTCCCCATGGCCGTTGCCATCCACTCCCCCCTCCCCCCGGGGGCCTCCACGGCAGAAGCTGAGTTTTCCCGTTACATTCTAGTCTGGCTACTGTGCCTCTGCTAGCTCAACTCACACACACTCTAGTCCTGTGACAGGCGACCTAAGCCCAGTGGGGCTTGGAAGTTCATTGATGTGCTGCTCAGGCTTTGGTCCCGGGCCCTGGATGAGGGAGGCACTGCAAACAGCGATGCGCAGGGTCTGGACAGGCTGTTGAAAAGTCCCACACTTGTGCTTTCAGGCAGAAGCAGGGCCCATGGTTCCCATGCTGTTTGTACAGTCATCAACCTCTCTGATTAACCTCGGAACCCAGCCGAGGGAGAAAGAGCCTCTATACACTGGGCGAGAGCTAAATTTGTTTACTTTCCCTGAAAAATATAGCCACAGTCTTACCAATTATGCTAAAACGTGGATGGCCCTTTTATGATAAGGGACTCACTTTCCGAGTGTGAAGGCAGCACAGAGTAATTTATGGAAGCAGTTGTCATTTGCTAGAAAGTGCTGACTGGGAGAACAGGCATTCAGTCCACAGATGTGCCTGATATACCAAGTTCATTGTCTTTTGCTTATTTACTTATTTTTAAGTAGAAGAATAGACATTTTGTAGCAAGAGCAGTATGTCCTAGGTATATAATAATAGCACTTAATAGACAATCGATTTGCAGGGGCGTTTAAATCTGTCCATTATAAAGTCACACAATCAGAATTTACACAGTCTGCATAAGTGGAAAGACCTGCTAAGGCTGGCAAGGTTCTTGAGACAAAATTTCTAGTCTGATGGCTCAGGAAGCAAGTGTGGTTCTTCCCATTAGCCCAAAGAAGTATAGAGCACATGTTCTCCTCACCGGAGTTTACCACTTCTGAGTTATTTAGTGCTAGGCACCCCTCTGAGTGCTTTGCAAATAATAGCTTAATTCTCAAAACAGCTATTATAGTTCCCATTTTAGCAATGAACAAACTGAAGTATCAGAAGATTAGCTCGTTGGTTCAAGGTGGCATTGCTAATGCATTGTGAGCCTGACACAGCAGCCCTGATACACTCAACTGTAGTCCTTCCCCATGACCCCCAACCAAATGTCTGTCATATTTTTTATAGAAGTTTCTACCTAAGTCTTATTTGCTGGTGAACAGGAAAAGGAACAGTCTAGAGTTCCGGCTTGCTTGTTTTGCATCCCAACAATCTGAGAGCCACTTCCAGTTGGTTGAATGATGTGTGCATCTTAACCTGTCTCTTGGGGTCACTCTCAGGGGAGGTAATGCCAAGCTCTGTATGCTCCCAGTTGATATGTAGCTCATTGGGATGCCATAAGTCATCACAGCAACACCAGGAAACAGCTGGGAGCTGACCTCCCCGTCCTCATCCCTTTGGATATAGAGTGCCACTGATGGGCATGTCATGGGAGATGCCAGAGCTGTCTGCCCATGTCTCTTTTCTTATACAACCACAGCAGAACCCAGACTCAGTAGCAGGGTGACCAGTGTGGTTTGTGCATTGAGTGACAGGCAAACCAAGAACTCAGTGAGAGGCCCTGGGTTCTGGCTAGAAGGAACATTTGAAAGACACAGTTCAGTGAAGACCTAGGGGGATTTTTGAGATGTTAATTCATGGAATTGACAAGAGTTGACATCTGAAGAAAGATTCTAATTCTAGACCTTCCCTTCTCCTCCCCCTCCCCCATCCTCGGATCTAAATCTCTGTCAGTATATGATACTCTGTTGGTTAGTTTTAACTGTCAACTTGCCACAACCAGTATTACCTAGGAAGAGGCTGAGAGTCGAGATCAGGTTGGCCTGCAGGCATGTCTGTGGGAGACTGTCCCGATGGTAAGTCAAAAGGGGAAGACCCAGCCCACTATGGGTGACTCATTCCCTAGGAAGGGGCCGGGGACTGTGTTAATCAAGCAAGCGAGCAAGGATGCGCATTTTCTCTTTGTGGTTGACTGGATCTAAGTTCTTACCTAGATTTGCCCACAGTTTTGGACTGAAACCTGAGCTCGTAAGCCAAACAAACCCTTTCTCCTCACAACTGCTTTTGTCAGGATATTTTCACAGCAGCAGAAATAAAATTAGAACAGATGCTCTCAACTTAAAACATCTTCATTCATAATTGGGGTGGTGGCAGACACCTCTTCTCGCTTAGATGGAACTGTCATTCTGACTGCTGGGCCTTCACACATCTGCCCAGCTTAGAAACTGGATTTGATCCCACTCTTTACTCTTCCATTGGTTATATGGGATTCCAAGCCACATATATGAGATTTTTCTTAGGGCAAACTATTCACAGTCAATTGTCCCCATGCCTAGGCATGGAAAGTTGCAAATGGCCTAGCTAAGGCCAAAGAGATGTAGGAAGATGGTTTCTGGTGATTTCAGGAAGAAATTCCTGGATTGAAAAGGACTGACACCAATTCTAAAAGGCACGCATTAGTCCCTTTCACTACGGTGTTTGTTTATAGTGTCGGAAGCTGTGCAGCGTTTTGCTAACACAAGGAATTTCTCATTCTGCTTGTTGGGGATGACAGAAAATAACAGAAAGGACTATGTTTTGGAGGGGCTACTGCACTGTTCAAGTGACAGAATTTGGAATTGCTTCAAGGCTGGATGTCTTGTCAGTGATAAAATAATAAATACCTTTGGTTTAGAATAGTTGGGCTAGAATTTCCTATTAATTTTCATGTGAATGTAACCTAAGAGAAAGCTTTAACTGCACACATTTTAGGCAGTCGAAGGTTCTGCATTGCATTGGAGGGGTAGGATTGAGACGGGCCTCCATGTAGGAGGGCTGGCCAAGAACTCTGTAGCTGAGGATGACCTTAAACGCCTGACCCTCCTGCCTCTACTTCTCCCTCTTGCTGAGCTTACAAATGTGCCACCACGCATACATGATTGATTTTTCGATGCTAATTTCAAATGACTGGCTCCTTCAGGTAACCTGCTTGCTTTTGAAGTTTGGTGCGGATGTCAATGTAAGCGGTGAAGTTGGAGACAGGCCCCTGCACCTGGCCTCTGCAAAGGGATTCTTCAGTATTGTAAAACTGCTCATGAATGATGAGGACAAGGCGGATGGTAAGGCTGTGTGCCTCCTGTGTGCTTTGGCTTTCTCCTATTCCTGCAAAGAAGTTTGAAGCTCATTTATCCTACAGTTCTGTGCTAACTTGTTCCAGAAAACAAAATTTGTTCTTAAGATGAGAATCTTTATAAGCCCAGCTGGTTCCCACACACTGGGCACCCTGGTAGTGGGAAGGGATGTTCCAGACAGACTGGCCCTATTTATTATTATTCACTTATCTTTTTCTTTAATTGGTGTATAATTTTCATATAGAAATTTCTTAAATCTCGATCATACAGTGTGATGACTATTTGTCTCTAAATGTGCACACAACACTTACCAGAATGAGGCACATAGAGAACCTCCCCCATCCGTGCTCTTCTCTTTTCCTTATTTCAGCTCCAAAGGTAACTGGACTTCTAAATACTTAGAACCCCAATTTACTGTTGTCTCTTATCGAACCATGTAATTTTTATTTTATTCTAGTTATAAAATTGTGTAGTGTGTGTGTGGTATATATCCATGCATGTGCACATGTGCACACCAGTGTACATGTGGAGACCAGAAGCACATCTGGCGTCCTGCTCTTCTACTCGCCAACCTATTCCCTTGAGACCAGTGTCTCTCACTGGAGCGAGAGCTGGGCTGGCACATCCCAGCCCTCCTGTCTCTGTTCACTGAAGCACTGGGGCTCTGGGCACATAGCCACACCCAGCTTTTTGTATGGAGCTGGGGATTCAAGCTCATGTCCTCATGTTGGTACAGCAAGTGCCTGATATACTGAGCAATCACCCCAGCCCTGGTCTTTGCATAAGTTTTGTGAATAACTGGTTTCTTTAGCTCAATGCATGGATTTGACATTTCATAATACTTCATGAAGCAGTCTTTTCTTTTATAATGCAGAAGACTGAATCTGGCACAGTTTGTGTCCCGAATCCCTGACTGCATTGCAATATTTCTAGTGTTCTGCTGTTGTGAACACAGCTATTGTGCCGAGTTCTTAGCGTCATATCCACTTATTTCTCTTGAACATGTACAAAGGCATAGAATTAACTGCATATACTAAACCTTTTAGGAAATTTCCAGACAGTTTCACTGGGGTGTTTATACTAATTTTCAATCCTAAATCAACATATCGGGGTTCTAGGTGCTCTTCGTGGCCTTCACAAGAAATAATGTATATTTATTATAAGTTCTAGTGGGGAGAACAGGTAAGGGTGGTTTATTTTAGAAGTTTTCTTGCTGTTCTTATGCTTTTAATTATAAAATAAATGTTGGAAAGTTGATTAGGAGTGAAAGAATAAGAAGCCCACATAGGCTTTTATTTTTGACATAAAGTCATGGAGAGTTCCATACATCTGGCCATTAAAGTGTCCCCAGCATGTCCAAACTTCTCCCGTTGACCCCCTAGAGACCTAATTAAGCTCCCAGCTAAAAGAGTTTCTAGCCTTTACAGCAGGCATGACGCACAGTTCCAAAAGGACAGGGTTGTCAGGCTGTGGGGCTGCCAGTTCCTCAGTTCAAAATTCCGGTTGCTATTCAGTTGATACAGCTAATCAGCTTTTTCATCCAGTGTTAAGGAAAACTCCCAGGCTCCCAGAGAAACCCAAGGCAAGAGGCTGGGGAAGCTTCCAGTTCTCATGTCAGACACTGGGGCCACGTCACTCCGTAGAGATTGAGAAGCATCTTCTGCACTGCTTCCTATGGGCCAACGTGCAATGACCCAGGTGTCTGAACAACAGCTTTACCACAAACAGTCTGTGCTGGCAGGAAATAGCAACAATATCCCTTGGGCCTCGTGTAAGCAGTTTTAGGCAGTCGTCCGTTCTCTTAGCTTAGGTGGAGGTACACTTGTAGGAACCACTGCACACATGACCACAGTTTTAGAGCTGCCTGGCTCTTCATGAGGTCAGGAACTGCATCACTTTTATCTTTGAGGACACCCTCAGCTTTCTATTCTGCACAAGTCCAAAGCTCAACAATGTCAAAACGAGTGTCGTTTATGATCAGCACGTCTCCAGGATCAAAGGACTCTTCTGCAAAAGGCACTGAAATATGTTCGGCACCCCATCCCCTCACACACCTCCATCACAGGGTATAATTTCTAGCATTTTCTTACACAAATACTGCACCCTTACTATTCAGCCATTTTAAAAAAAAAAAAAAACAGGAGACAGCATGAGTCAGGCTTTTAAGTATTTTTATTTCCATCCAGTGCACTTGATATTTAACCCTGTTTTGCACTCAGCCGACTGCAGAAAATAGAGTATACCATGTCCCATTGTGATGGGCATAGCACAGGACCGACGATTAGTAAGTTTGCTTTCTCAAGATGATTGTTTCAACTATACACTTTTTCAATGGTGAATAGACAGAAGAGGAAGATTAAATGAATGACCCCAACAGTACAATTTGAAGTCTAGTATCTATCGTGTGTTTCCATGGTAACAGAATATCACAAATGAGAATACATTCAGGTTACAAAACTGACCAAAATGTAACTCAGAAGGCAGGTTCTTCAGCTGAGCAGTGTAAAGGTCTGGCCTACACAGTCAGATGCCTCTGGTCTGCTTCACTGTGTCTCTTGGGGCAATGAGGAAAGAAATACAGTCCTGCTGGAATTAGGTTGGAAATACAGCCTAACTCCATAGGAAACAACATAATGAGATTGTCCTTAAAATTTATCATTTCAATAAAGTTGAAAACATTTAATTTCGCATTTATTAGTATTTTTAACTCCGTGCTAAATACTAAAGCTCTTTTTTATGACACACTCCTTTAATACGCCATTGACTACCGCAGAACTCTGAGAAGATCTGCCAAGATGGGACTGGAGAGATGGCCCAGTGCTAAGGGCCATACTTCTCTTGCCAAGAACCAGAGCCTGCCTGGCTCCTGGCACCCATGTTGGACAGCTCACAACTACCTGTGACTCCTGCTCCAGGAGGATCTGAATTCACTCTCTTTCTGGCCTCCACAGGCACCTACACACACATGTACACATACCACATGCAGATATACCCACATACATGCACACGCACACATACACATACACACACACACAAATAAATATAATATATTTTAAAAATCTTCCAACATCAGAAAGAAGAGTGCTTTGCTTTTAAAACTGTATCTCGTAGTTATTGCACAGACTTGTTATTGAAAATTTGTTTGAGACACATTTGGGGTTTGTTTTAAACAGTGGCTGGGATTTGTAGTCATTAGAGAGTTAATTTAGAAGTTAATATTTTTATCTTTAAGGTCCATAACCAGGAATAAGGACTATGTGGTTTTCTGTATCCACCCATCTAAATACTCTTTCTTTCAACAAAATATTGGTGAGCTTGTATCCTTTTCAAAGTGGAGGACAGAAGTAAATATTTCCCTAGTAATAGATTACGTATACTCCTTTGTTTGAAAGTCTCCTTTATTTAAATATCATGATAAGATTTTTTTCTAGCTTTTCTGTGCATTGAACCCAGAGCTTTGCACATGCTCAGTTATCACTCTACCATTGAGCAATAACCCTGAGAATCTTATTTTTGAGACAGGTTCTCACTAAGTTATCTGGCTGTCCTTGAACTAACTCATAGCTCAGGCAGGCCATGAACTTATAATCTTCCTGCCTCAGATGTCCAAGGAGCTGGGATCATAAACCTGAACTATTATGTCTAGCGTTAGCAAGATATTCAGTGAGAGAAATAGAATGTCACCCAGACATTCAGTTTCCCTGAGATGAAGTGTAATATCATACAGAAATTTACTCTTTGTAAACTGGAGCAAGAGAAACCCAAGTATGTCACCATCACATCAAAATCACACAGACCGTGGTCTTATCCATGCCTCTCTGGCTAGATAAAGAAGGCTGCCTAGACACCGCAGGGAGTTCACCATGTGGATGATTTTGAAGCTCCATGGTCTTGTTGGGGAAGGTGCTGCTGGGGACGGGAGGGTGCCCAAATGACACGCTGGGAATTGACAGGTGGTTGAGCTGCTTTCTTTACATTTTCTGCCGTGGACTTAGGCCCTCTTGATGCTTTGGGCCCCAGATGGCTCTCTAGTGCAGACTCATGCCATTGACCATTGACTTGCCATGGCTCCTACAGAACATGAAAGGATCAAAAGTCATACAAGTGAAGATAATCAGAATAACAAGGGGCATTGATCTGAAATAAGAGTGTTTTTCTGAAGCACTGATTATGATAAGCCATTCAAAAAAAAATTTTTTTTTTACAATTACAACCTTCGGAGGAGAAGCCCAGAGACTTTGATAAAAATGTTGATCTTGCTTAGGATATTGAAGGCCAATAAATGAGAAGGTTGTCAACAAATACAGCAGCAGGAGCATGAATTGGTGCTTATTAATGGATGCTGGAGAATATGTCAGCAGCAGTAACAAGCTGCCTGCACCTTTTAAATCGTTATTTCTCTTGCTTTTCCCTTCTATTCTTTAAAAAGTTTCCTTCTGATCTTTCCACTTGTACAAAGTTATCAAATAGTAAATGAATTTAGGCAGAAAAATATCATATAATAAGATGAATGTGTACAGAGCAGCCAATCCAATTATTTTAGTCTTAAAGGAAGGAGTTAAAATCGGACCAAGAATTGAGAAGTTTGGTGTTCGTGTATAAAGTCAATTTGGTAACTGGACTTTGTACCATTTGAGGGAATATACTTTGTGCACCTATAGTTTATTGAATTTAACACAGAACATTTCTAAGAAGGATATAAGGAGACAGGTAGAGTAAACATTATTAAATGCATGTGTGACAGGTTCGTACTGATTCATTATAGTCATGAAGTTTGTTAATATTTTCAGTGTGATTCTAACTGAGCTCTTGTAGTCAGACGAGGGATAGGATATCATGCCTCTAATACCTGGCACTGTGGTGATCACTGGAGACCATTGAAGGATGAGAATGGGTCAGTCGCATTTTCTCAAATACTGAAAGCTAACTAGTGATGATTTAAGTATGAATTGTCCAGGTGAGTTTTTATTATTAACTTGAATCATCCT